GAAGAGAAACAGATTACATTAAGTTAAAAGAGCTAGTGGGACAAGCCTAAGTTAAGATCGAGCATTCATAATTAATAGTAAGTCTGTGTCTTTATTTGGAAGCTGGTTGGTGGCCCAAAGAAAATGTCAGCTATAAATGATGCCCCACATGGGGCACCAAATGTTTTAATTTTGGCACAGTGGCTGCACCTTAATCTACTGCTATCTCATCCAGCAATTAAACTCCACAGCTACTGACCTTCTTCTCTAGTCCGGCGAGAATTCTGCTCCCGCAGGCACAGGCCCTGTCACTGCCACTAAAAGTAGCTTTAACTGAATCTCTATCACTTTAATTATGAATAAGACTCAAGAGTCAAAGGCTGGGGTGAAAGTCTGTGAGCTCAGAGAGGCTAAGTAGCAACTAGCTAACACTCTCTCCTTGCTGGCATCCATGGAAAACCTGTGATTCTGCTTCACCAGACCAGAAAAAACTACACAACTCCAAACCACATGCTACCACTTCCTGTGCCTCTCTATCTCCCCCAGGTGCCCTCTGGTGCTCTCTGATGACTTTCTGTCAACCAGCTGCTAACACAGCCTCCTGACCCAAGGTTAACTTTATTTAATTAATACAAATGCAAACTCAGAATTCACAGTATGCTCACATATCTCCCAACAGGCTACGAAGGCAGCCATCTCCATTCTTGTTCTCCCTTCTTAGATGTATGTATTTGTAAACATAAATTTATCATTCAAGAGAACCACCCAATTTTCATATTAAAGGCTTATCTAAATTTGACATTCTTTTATGTGAATCAAAAATGGTTAAGGTTGGCTTCCTTTTGGTGTGAACAAAGAGATCACAGGGCTGTAGCTTTATAGGTGTCTGCTTATTTGCTGCATATTCTTGGTGATCACTAAGTCTGAACTTTCAGCACACACAGCATTATGTCACTTTTTCACACTTTCAACCAAATCTTTAGGAAGCATCTGGGGTAAGAGCAGAGAGTCTGTGCTTGCTCAAAATTACGTGTTCTGTCTTATTCATCTGGGAGTGACTAATCCCAGCCCTTGGGTTTGCAGGGAGCAGAGGTAGATGCATGTTTCAGGGGTTTGCTAACACTCACTTGCTGAAACACAGAGGACATATGACATCACCAATGAAATCCTGAAACTGTCCCTCCCACTGCCCTAAGAGCTGCTGAGGTACTGCTCAGCACTGTAAGAACTGTTCCTTATTTTGTAATAATCCTGAGTGATAAGAGATTGACTATTCCATCTCTGAAATGCTTGGAGCCAGAAGTGTTTCAGGAGGTTTTATTGTTGATTTGGGGATAGCTACATAAACATAATTAAGATATCTGGTGGATGGGACCTAATCCTAAAAATGAAATTTATTTATACTTCATATGTATCTTACACACATAGCTTCAAGATGACTATATATGGTATTTTAGCATGTTTATGCAGTGTTTGTTTGCTTGTTTATAATGCTGGGGATAAAGCTCAGAGCCTTGACCATACTAGACAAGCACTCATCCCCACTCATTCATTGAGCTACATCCCCAGCCCTCTGCCTGTGCATTGAATGTAATCATCACATTAATTCAGATGTAGGATTTTACACTTGTGGAAACCTTTCGAATTTTAGAGCATTTCAGATTATGGATTTTCCACTGGAGATGCTCAATATATCCTGGCTACTCAAACTGAATTTCAAAGTTCCTCAAAAAGAATTTTAAACTCAGTTTAATGCGTTTATGTGAGTGCTCCCAAAGCACTGGTTCTCAAACCTGGCTTCATATGAAAATCATGTAGAGTGGTTTCAAAAATATTAGTCCCTAGCTTCCCCTTCCCTCTGGCCTATGCCCTTAAAAGAGTTTGGTCTAATTAACTTAGAAAGAGATTGGGCATCAGCACTTTCCAATCAGAAAATAGTTGGCTACTCCCATCACATTCATGCTACTATTGTACCAATAGGCATAACATTGCTGGCTGGTTGGTACTGTAGCTCACAGAGCTCACAGCTAGGTAAGATTTGATGACTGACCCCTACTCCCATCCCCCAACAGCCTATATAACACCTTCTGGTACTTTGAAAGCCAGCTAGAAAGGAAGAAACTTCTAGATCAGTCCCAGCAGACAGTAAGTGACTGTGGAGTTCTTGGTTCTAAATGGACATAGGTATCATTCCTACTCCCACGAGGCTCATGAAACAATACAAAAGAGGTGGCAGAAAGATTCTAAGAGCCAGAGGTTGGGTAGGACTGCTGTAAAAGAGGGCCCTTGCATTCATGAACTCACATCAGCTGTGATTATCTAAATAAGAACAAGGCAGTCAACATTCCAGCATGGATGGGAAAGGGTCCCATAAAGCCCATCTCTGGCTGAGGAGATACTGGTAGCTGATGTCTCGTGGAAGAGGACAAATCAGTTTTTCAGGAGTGTAGCTCTGGAAGGGGCTGCTCATGCTCCAGCCATGCACACACGGGCAGCACTAACTGCGACTCCGTGGGTCATAGAAAGAAAAGGAAGACATGAAGTTAGAAGTGTGCTGGGGGCATTGAGAGAAGGGGGAAATGGGATGGGTATCATCCAAAATACATTGTATACATCTCCGAAATTAAAGAAAAAATAAAAATACTATTGAAAATGCATTAAGACAAGAAAATGGAAGGAAGCTACTTGAAAAGGGTCAAGAGAGGCATGAAGAGGGACAAACAAACACGGGTAACTGAGAGGTGAACATGATCAAATTATATGGTACACATTTATGAAAATATAATGAAGCAGGTTATTTTATAAAGTGAATATGTGCTAATAAGAAGCTTTATTTTTATGGGATGTAAACAGATGTTATTTAAGACAAGTGTTTTGAGGTGAAATTAGTTTGGAATGTATGGGTTATATTTACTGTGAGACTCCTAAGAACTTTAAATGTCTGTGATATGAGTTTCCAAGGTGTGGTGATGAATATGCAAGAAGCTTAACCTACATGGGATGAGTTTTTAGGACTTGTTTTGGAAAGTAGCCCTTTATAACAGTGGTTCCCACATCCTAGCTAATGAAGGACAGCATTAGGTATCATTTGGCAAGCTTATTAAAACAATGATTCATGGGCCACACCCTAGGGGAGGGAGAATGCATCATTCAAATGAACAAATTGAAGTGATGCTTATGCATACTCACATTTGGGGATAAGAGCTCTGCGGATCATACTATAGAAAAGTAAATAATATTTGAAAGGCCGAGGCTGGGAATATAGTTAAACTGGTAGAGTACTTGCCTAGGCTGCCCAAGGCCATAGGTTCCAGGCCCAGCACTGCATAAACTGGGAGTGGTGGTGCACACCTGTGATTCTAGCACTTAGAAAGTAGAAGCAGAAGGACCAGAAGTTTAAAGCTATCCTCACTTATGTATCAACCTATACTACATGAGACCCTGTCTCAATAAATATATTTAGGGCTACATCAATGCCAAGCAGCAAGGAAAGACAGATTGAATAGAGTCAGATAATAGCACTTGCTATGATTTGGACATGAAATCCTCCTCAAAATGTTCCTGTTTTGGAGACTTGGTCTCCAGCATATGGATCCAATCACTGAAGGTAACTGGATCGTGAGGGCTCTGACATAATCAGTGGATTAACCCCTTGATAGATTGATAGCTTGATGTCAGGTACAGAAAGATGGGGGCCTGGCTGTAGGATGTATGTCACTGGAGGCATGCCTTTGAAGGATGCTTTATCCTTGGCCCCTGCCTCTCAGCTGTCACAAGCTGAACACTTCTGCTCCACCATATGCTTCCTGCAGGCTACTGTGCCTCACCATGACCCAGAAACAGTGGAGCCAAGTGGCCATGTACTGAAACCAGAATCATTTTGTGTTGGGTATTTTGCCACTGTGATGTAAGTTTGATAACCAAGTTTTTTACTCATGAAAAAAATACATATATCTTTAATGAAAAATAATGCTAAATGTTGAAAAGTGCTACTATAACAAATGACTACGTGAGAATCTCTAAGAACAGACTTGGTTGTTTATCTTTATTACTAATTAGAAAGCAATGTATAGTGACTGGCAACCCTTTACCTGTTTGTTTCTTCATGTTCATCTTCTCTTATCAGAGTTGATGGCCCATGGCCAACTGAACAAACCCAGTGGTACCATCCTCCTGAGCAATTTCTCCTAGATAAAGCTCTCAAACTTTCCTTCATATGATACTACCTCACAGTAGGAATATTAGTTCTTCCTTGACTGAAAATTGTAGAATGTATATTTGCTTATTACTCAGTTCTCTCAAAACTGTGTGTGGTCAATAAATTATTGCAGTGCTCAAACCATGAACCTACTATGGTTATTGGTAACTACATATTTGTACCATGTTTTTAAATGTATTTGTTTATTGATAGGGCCTAGCTTCCAACTTGCTATGGTAGCTGGGAATGACCTTGAACTTCTGACCCTGTCGTAACCTCCTGCATATTGGGATCACATCTATGCATCATACATAGTCTGGGGATGGAACCCAGTGACTCATGCTTGCTAACCAAGAAGTCCCCCAACAAATCTGCAGCCCAGGCCTGTACCATGCTCTTTGCTTGTAGGTAATTTCACATGAATGATACTGTGTCTGTAGTCACAAAAGCATTTAGGGTTAAAAAGTTATATCTAACACCGTGAAAAGTAAGAGCAAAGAATACATCAAGTCACCTACATTAAAAATAAATAATTATCTACTTTGAAAAATATAAAAATTATACACAAGAAAAAACACAGATATAACTAGAGCAAATTTACGATGGCAAGACTTTGTACATACTAATACAGCTAACAGCCACTGAGCAGCCCGTCACACTCAGCCTTGCTACCACTATTAGGTCCATTTCCCATGCTCAGAGAAATTAAACAAGCCTGACCTTATTTAATTCAAACCCAAGCAGTTCTCACCTGGAACCATTCTTTACCAGCATGACTTACTACGGTCATGAGTCTGGGATAGTATCCCCCACAGGACGTTACCTCTTTGATTCGCTTGACTAGAGCATTCTGATCAAAAGCAACTGCTTCTGCACACTGGTGCAGGTGATCTTGGTACCGTAGGCAGAGCTGCAACACCTGCTGAGAGTCCAGCTTCTCCAGTTTGGCATTTGTTGGGGACGTCTGTCCACTCAAGAGCCCTTCCAAGGAGAGAGAGGGGAAAATGAAATGAGAATTGCTGCTGATAAACTTGGCTGAAGTTCATGGAGGCAGGGAAAGAGACACTTAACTTTGCATCTCTTGCTCTATGCAAATGAAAGTCACTGCAACTACCCCTGGCAACGCAGCAACCACTCCCCAGCCACTTTTACCGTGTGCTTCCTCTGCATTACTTTCTTAGCCCTGTTTTCCACATGACAGAGCCAGGACACAGAGAGGCTGAGCAACTCTCTGATCATCACAAAACGAGCAGTGGCTTCCCTCAGACAGTGCTCCTAGCCTTAGTGCACTACTTCAGTGTATTAGGAAGACATATCTCTTCTTGACTGAAAAGGATGAAAGATGCATTTACTTAATTTTAATTACTATTGGTTACTAATATGGCTACCTGAGAAAATGTATAAGAAAATTACTAGTATATGATACCAAAATTAAAACAAAAGACAGACTGCCAGTTACAGGCCTGAAATGCTGTGTCTTTTCCTAACATTGGTTGGCTTAGCTGTAGAACATCAGTAAGCACAGGGGACTATGTTCTCAAAACTTTCATACTGAACCACCATGCTTTCCTATAGGGGCATGTGTCAGGTAAAATCTGCTTCAGAAGAAATCAGTTCAATTACAGAGGCTACTACACTTGCCTATGCCTATGGTCAGAAGTACTGACGAGAACTTAAGCCCATGGACATTTGGTTACCAAGGCAATGCAAGTGTGGTATGAAGCAAGCCCCTCCTATATATTCTCAAGAATTACTGACATTGTATTTACTGTTGTTAACCTATTAAAAGTTAAGACTGATGAAATGAAATTCTTTAGTGTTAAATAAATGTATGCTTCTCACAAATATTTAAAATAATAGTTAACATGTCACAGGTTAACATATAACCTATTTTGAGGAAAATATTTTTATTTTCCAAAACATAAAAGTCGAAGGGTGATACTGGTTTATATTTTCACAGGTCTTTTTAGTGGTTTGCTTAATAGAAAGTGCTGGATCCTCTTAGCTCCCCTGCTTGTAAGTCAGCATCTCTCCTCACAGAGTCTCTGAGGAACTCCACTATACACATCCACGATACACTTCTAAGATTGGCACTGGTGTGCAAATTATGTTCAAGTGTTATCACAAAAATAGTTTGACCTCAAAGACTCCCTTGTAGGGTCTTGGGGATCCTGTGACATCTGCCCCCCAGCTGGCACATTCTGAGAATCATCCATTCTGCCATGCTGTGCTGTTCTTACACTAGAGCACAAGGAATATCAAACACGCATGACCCTGGGCATGTGCTGGGCCTCCCATGCCAAAACTCAGCCTCCCTTCCACCATCGGGCCCTTGCTGCTCTCATACATGGGAATTCGCCCAAGGGTTTTCCCTGGCGGGATGATGTGCAGTGGGCCATGCAGCTGTGCTGTGTCGAGAATCCTCAGACCTGCTACACAGTGCTCACATCCTCATGGGACTCAGCCTTGGAGGTGGAAGCATGAGGATCAGAAGTTCAGTGCATTCTCAACTACATAATGAATCCAAGGTCAACCTGTGATACACGAGATCATGTCAAACAAAATAAAGAATGAATTATATTCCAGGGTAGAATTCATGTTTTAATAATTAATTTGTAAGTAGGATTTTCCTTTTTTACCTTTTATTGCAAATATAATTTTCAAACTATAGGAAACCAGGAAGTAAAAGAATACCCAAACACATCTATATTCCACAAGTCACATTTTATAATACCCAGACCTTTTCTGAGTCATTAAAGGAAAAAAAAAAGCAGACATTATCCAGGCAGTGGTAACACACACCTTTAATCTCAGAACTCAGAAGTAGAGGCAGGTGGATCTCTGAGTTTGAGGTCAGCCTGGTCTACAGAGTGAGTTCCAGGACAGCCAGGGCTACACAGAGAAACCCTGTCTTGGAAAAATCAAAAAGCCAGAAAGCAAAATAATAATAATAATAAAAGCAGATATCATGATACCTCACTACATAAAAGACATCTGCCCGTGTGTACTGAGCTCAGACCTGGGCTAATGGATTCCATTTATTACGTGGTGCTTGCAAAGGGCAAACATTGACCATATTTCTTAAGAACATGTTGAAGCCACTCTTTTTATACAAAGATGAGGAGTGGGCTCCCAGGACTGTGTGAGGTAGGGATCCAGAGAGACATTAATAGAGCCAACAAATTGCCAACTATACTGATCTCTTAATATAAAAGTGCTAAGGGGAAAAATCATAGGGGCTAGAAATTCAGTTCTCATTTTTCTGAGTTATTTTATGTTAAACATTATAAGAGTTAAAACATAAAATATAGTACAGAGCCATGTGCTTATTAAATTAGGCCGTTGCCAAACTGAATGTCTCAACCCTGAGAGCTTAGTTGTAAAATTAGAAATTAACAGTATAATTTTGGACACATATTTTTAAAATGACAGAATCTAGAAAGTAGACTCTAATACTTTGGCAAAAGTTACTGGAAAGGTATAATTAAGTAACATGCTATAAAAAATGAAAAGAACCCCCTCTGTTTGAGCTAAATGCTAGTGTCCTCACCAAATTGCCATTTGCAATCCAACAGATACCTGTTTCCACATCCCAGCACTAGGATTATAGGTGTGCACCACTTCTGGCTATGTGTGTGCACATCCTACTACGCGTACTACTCAGTACTACTATGAAGGTCAGAGGACAACTTGTTTGATATAAACCTTTAAAACTTCTTTAGCTTTTAATATTTTTATTAATATTTTGAGAATTTCATTCATGCGTAAAATGAATTTTGATAATATTCATTGCTTTCATACCTTCTTCTTATGTCCCTCCTAACTTCTTGTCTTTTTTATAAGTAACCCATTGAATTCAATTAGTTCTGCTTATGTACCTATGAGTGTGGGATCATCCACTGGAATCTGGTCAACCAACCAGGAACCACCCCACGAATGAAAACTGACTCCCTCCTCTAGTAGCCATCAACTGTCAATAGCTCTAGAGTCTGTCTCACCCAGCACTAAATGGGTCCTAGGAATCAAACACAAGCTGCGTACAGCTCTCAGTAAGCACCTTTACCTGCTGGATCATGTTGCTAATGTCACACCTGTCGTTTTCTGTAAGTTCTAGGAGCCCAACTCAGGTCTTCATGGTCGTGCAGCATGCACTTTACCCAGGAGTCAACTCCCCAGCCCCTGCTCTTGCCTTTCTAACCAAAGCTGTTTTCTTGCCTTTATTGTGGTGTGTGTGTGTGTGTGTGTGTGTGTGTGTGTGTGTAAGTAGACTAAGTGCCTGACCCTGCTTTCCCATCTCATCAGTCCTACTCCTCCCTTTCTAAGAATGGTAGGGCTGGTGGTGGGGCTGAGAGGTGGCTCAGCTGGTCCAGCACTTGACGAGTATGCACAAAGCCCAGGTTCATGCATAGACTAGGCTTTGTAAACAGAGACTGCTCGTCCGTTCCCGGTCTCCCAGACCCGAATAACCACACAGAAACTATATTAATTACAATACTGCTTGACCAAAAGCTTAGGCATAGTCCTGGCTAACTCTTCTATCTTAAATTAACCAATTTCTATTCATCTGTGTGTCACCACAAGGCTGTGGCCTACTGGTAAGGTTCTGGTGTTCAGGCTGCATTGTTCTCCTTCGGCAGCACATGATGTCTCTTTGACTCCACCTACTCTCTCTCTCTGCATCTCTGTATGGATTTCCCGCCTGGCTTTACTCTGCTAAGCCACTGGCCGAAACAGTTTTACTCGTTAGCCAGTAAAAGCAACATATATACAGAAGGACTTCCCCACATCAAGACATGGTGGGCAAGACTAGAATCCCAGCATCATTTTGTAGGTAGAAGCAAGAAGACTAGGAGTTCAAAGTCATCCTTTCTACACAGCAAGTTGCAGCCTGGGCTGTATGAATTCCTATCAGTGCCACAAAAGTAGTGCGTGCCTTTAATCCAGTACTAGGTAGGCAGAGGCAGGTAGATCTCTGTGAGTTCGAGGCCAGCCTGGTCTACAGAGTTCTAGGACAGACAGGACTGTAATATAGGGGAACCCTGTCTTGGAAAACCAAAAGTAAAAAAAGAAAAGAAAAGAAAAAAAGAAATCCAAACGAAAAAAAAAAAATCAAAAACTTTGAAGTGGCACTCAGACCTTAAGGGAATCTGCGGCAGGGCAGGACATGGGAAACTCCTCCTTCAGCCAAGTGTCAGTGCTTATCTGGACATGGCATATGGACCAGAGAAACAAGAACAGTGGCTGCCAGAGTACATCCAGCTTTTCCACAGGTGATCAGTGGGCACAAATCATATACCTCAGTGCCATCAAGAAAGGTCCCCTCCAGTTAAGAACTTAGCATTTCACCATCTCCCTTTTCATCCCAATAACTAAGTCAAATATTCGAGTCCTCTCATTTCTTGAACCATCTCCAGGCTCACAGGCTTGTTCTCTATTTGAATTCATCTGGTGGGAAACAGACACTGAGAGATATGGCAAAGGTGTGAGCTCTGTGGTTAGGTAGACTCGGAATAATCCAGAGACTGCACTGAGTGCTATGTAATGGTGGTGGAGTCATCACACTTCTCCACACTTGAGCCCTGCATGGCCTGTGACAATTACATGGTGCTACATCTGACACATCACATTTGCCACTTATACATATTTACTCTCTCTTCCAAAATCCCCAGCTCCCAACTACTGCAGGAGTCAAAAAAGCAGGGTTACAAAATCTGTCTGTAGGGCTGAGATAGCTTATCATACTGAGTGTGAGTGTGTGTGTATGTGTGTGTGATGTGTGCTAGGCACATATCACTGTGTACTAGCCTTGTAGGAAATACCAAAAATACAATTCCATTTTCCAAAGTGACCACTAGAAGAAGCAGACATTAAATACATGAAGGAAAAAAAAATATATTGCCGGGCAGCAATGGTGACCCACACCTTAATCCCAGCACTTGGCAGGCAGAGGCAGGCAGATTTCTGAGTTCAAGGTCAGCCTG